CTGTGGTCTTCCAGCAAGAACAAATGCAGTAGGCGTATAGATGATCCCTACCACAAAAAATCCAAATCACAGCTAACTTATCGATGAATGTGGCTTCCATGCGCCCTAAAGCCCGGATTTAGCACCCTGCGACCACTATTTTCTCCAAGGTGAAAATACACTTACGAGGTCAATTATTTCCATCTGATGGTGATTCGAAAGTTGCTGTAAGTGACTATTTTGGAACGCAACCAAAAAATGTGTTTTCTAATTGTAGAAAAACAGAAAAAATCAATCTTCTTCTCGAAATTATTACGGTGCAAGGTGCTCATTAACGTATCTTTACTTTGCATTTGTTTAGAATCTATAAATATAAAGGTCAGAGATTCTTTGTATCAAAGTTTTTATATTTCTCCCTTCCGCAGTTGGGTGACTTCACGAGGTCAATTTCGACAGGGAAGTTTGTGAAATGACCTGGCCGTAGCTTTACAGTTAACAGACCAATTGACAATTTTTCCCATATAAAGATCCTGTACAAATTACCACGTATTATTTAAACCTAAACTCCCATTTTTACATCAACACGTTTAAAACCACAGTATTGTACCTATTATATGAAATTAATTACAGAATTTCTCTTCTGGTACTACAATTACGAGATACCACGCACTTACGGTATGTGTATGCGATAAAATACCATATTTTAATGTCTCTCGGACAGTGACCATATGACCTACTTGAATTTTAATTGACAATCACGCCCGCTAATGTACTTCAGTCATTTTTTTGTAATTTTATGAGGACAATGATTTTTTTAGAGTGTATCAGACTTGCAAATGTACACAAATTACCTCAGTAAAGGCTGCAACAAGTATTATCCTCTGTGCGTAGTGTACCAAGAAAATATGTCATCGAAAAAGGGAAAATGGCCATATCCGCCCTCACTAAAACCTCAGTTTGTAATTTTAATCAATTTGCTCTCGTATAAGTAACATTTTAAATTTGATGGAAATTATGCATATGAAATTAAATTTGTTTTAATTTTTCTAAACAATTAGGCATTATTTAGAATGATTTTGGACGCTTTATCAAAATAGATTAATAAATAAGCACGTTGTGGATTTACAATGAATTTTTTTATTGGCTAAATGGAAAAAGCATATTTTAAAGAAGGTTTATAAGAAGGGTTCTAATTCTAAAAGGAGAAAGATCTCTATTAAAGTTAGTACCGATCACTAATAAAGTAAGGGATCTAAAATTTGAAATAAGTTGTTTTTGGAAAGTTTCCCGGGGCCCATGGAATGCTTCAAAAGAGGAAGATCCCTGGAAAGAAGATAGCTAAAGAGATTTATAATTTTTGAAAATCACTAAAACTCGAAAAGTATTTATTCAAAGCTCGATTGAAAGACTAATGGAATGTTTCTAAGATTTACCAATACCTTCTAGTAAAATTGAAGATTTTGAGGTAACAAGATTCTTTGAAGGATATTTTAAGAAGATTCTATATAAGCAAATGCATGCGAAAAGTTTATAAAGACTTCCTAAGAAGATTCCCAAAAAGGTTTTAAAAAGATTTATAGGAATTCCGAGATCCAAAGAATTTTCTAAAAAAGATTTTTTAAGAATTTCTAGCGCACTTGTGTAGAGATCTATCTAAGCTAGACAGATTGCTCCAAGATTCCCAGTGTAGTTCGCCAGTTTCTTGCGAAAGAAGTTTTCTCATAAAGGTTTTCCGAAAATTATTTGGGGAAAGAGAACTGTGGCTCGATCTCCTCCTTACACGTTAAAATGACAGAACTTTTGGATTTTAATCGCGATAATTTTAATATTCTAATAAATCTCGTTAGTAAATGTTGTATTATAAGGTACGTATATTATAGGGGTAAAATATCAAATTTATTTAGAAGAGCCGTACCGAAAATATTCACAACTTATTGACAACGCGAACAATTTATTAATTAATATTGTCACCAGCAGCCTTATCTTACAAAGTTCTTTTATAACTGTTTTCAAGGGTACGTCAAGGAGCTTGAAGTCGGTTTAAGTCTTTGTGATTTGAACCATACATCCGATTATGTGGCTCAGTGTAGCGGTGGGTTACAGAGCCGGAGGTTGGGTGTTCGAACTAGGGCTGAGGTAAGAATTTTTCATCTATGGCAGAGATGGAAATTTCTTTAGACCAGTTTCGAACATTCTGTTGGCTACTCCGAATTAGATTTTCCTGCAGTTTTGCTAATTCGTAAGATTAATACCGGAGTAGTATAGACAACTCACGACCTTCTGAAGGGGCACCTCTAAAAAAAGCATTATGTAATTAGGCGCAAGCCTGTTGAGGGCCCAGAACAAGAGAAGCGGTAAATAAATAAATATATAAATAAATAAACAAATAAAACCAAAACATAGCCATTGAAATATATCGCTAACTTCACGACCACAACATGACAGTAGAAAGTTTTTCGCGAAGATAGGACTTTTAAAATATGTCTAAGACTATAAATTCCTAAAAAAATTTAGAGAAGGTTTTATGAGAAAGATTTCAAGAAAATTTTCTACAGATCCTGGAAAGAGGTTTCTAGTGAAGTTTGTTGTAACTCGACTTTCAATAAAACCTACAAAAACCCCATTTTTTGCATAGTTGTCAAATTACCGAACTTTTTTTGTCAAAAAGTCGTATGGAACGTGGTAGGTACTCTTTTTCACGATTTTGACTAAGCCTTTCCATAGCGTTTAGTCCTGTCTACGAACAATAGCTCAATTTTTGGCTGACAATAAATATTAAATATTATTCAATTATGGGATATTAAGGATCACTATGCAAAAAAAATCTATGCTCTTATGCTCTTATGAAACCACTAAAAATATTTCCAAAAAGGTTTGGAAATTGGTTTCTAAAGTTTTTAAGATACAAATAAATTGTTCTACCAATATTCTCGGAAAGAATTCTGGTAAGATTTCGAAAATAACTGTAAGTGGAAACATAAAAACACTAAGAAACTACAATAATAGTTTAGTAAACCGTATACGGGTTTCAACTGCTTTAAGGTTTCCAAAAACGCTTATAAAACACTTTGCACATCAGTTTCTACAAAGATCTTTTTAAAAATGTGTTAGGTAGACTTTGTGGAAGATCTACAAGATGACTTCCACCAAAGAAATGACTAGAAGATTGCGAAATCGCTTTTTATGGAAGTGTCATAGAAAAAAACCTTTAGAAGGCAAAGTTTCCTGGAAGGCTTCAAAGAGGGTTTCTAAAAGTTCACTGAATATCAAAATTTACCCAAAATCGTGCGTGCCAGTTGCATGAATTCTACACCCTCTATTGGTACCTTTCCTATATTGGATATGTTTCGTTGTAATTTCATTGGAATGTGATGTAAAAATTCTTTCAGCAAAAAGTCAGATATGTATTAAATGTGGCCGTCAGCATTTTGACCCAAGCTACTGGCAGACTTTGACTATTTTTTGACTTTAGTGGGGCCAACTGATTGCGTCAAAATTAATGTTGTTTCTAAATGATCTAACGACTTAGTATGTGGTCAGAGTACAATATAGATAAAATCGGTTCTAGCTCACTACCGTACTAAGGTTAACTGGTGGAGAAGTAGACCTTGTTACTTGGGTTATCAGATTGAACAGTAACAAGATTTGATGGATTATGGTGTTAAAAGCATGTATTAAATAGCAGAAATAGTAAAGAAACTACAAAGTACTAATTTTTCATCATTAAAAAAAATTAATTTACGAGTATTTTTTATCAATAGAGGAAAGGAAAATAAGTGAAAGAGAATTGGGCAGTGGAGGGGTCTAAAATAAGATTCTTTTTTCTATGTTCCTACTTCCTATATCTTCACAAAATCGTAAAAGGGCATATGGTCAGTCTCATAGTCCATCAAATACAAGTTTTTTTGTAGAATTTTACTGTGTGGAGAGTGAGAAATTCTTCACTAGATATCAAAAGCATCTCAATTTGAGATTTCATGAATTTACGCAGTTTACCAATGAGGCTAAGGATATTCAAAAGTCTAGGTGAATTAGTTGCATCTGTGAAAAAGGCAAAAAAAAAACTGTGGTGCATCTGGATGTCAACCAAACATTTTAATCCCTTAGGGAAATAGTTGTATTAGTTTGCCCTATCACTCAATATTTTCAACCTTTGCTTGAGTCTTAAACACGTTAAAAAAACCAACGATTCTGGAAGCGCCACAAGGTAATAATTCGCATTTCTTAAAATTACTTTCAAATTTACACTTCCGATCGTATTGATTTATCATATATATCAAGGTGAGAATCTAGCGGTTAAAAATGCGAATTAATGTGGTTTTAGTGTAAACAATTTCGCAACATAGGTATTGTAATGAGTATGTGACCAAGACAAACATATTTTGAACTGAAACCAGTTTGTCTTGCATTAGATCAAGGTAAACCTCACCCTTTCCTTGAACGTCCGGAAGCTTTTTCTCTTATGCATCAGCAATGAAACTATGAGTCACGTTGATTCAATCATCTGCGGGTGAACCATTTTTGTGCAAAACCGAATTTTACGCTTCCAAGTCAAAGCAAAAGAAAGATCAGCCCAGGAGCTGGCGTGGGGGAGCTTTTTTTAAATATTGCATCATAAAATATTTTTATTCCACGTCAAAAAATTTCAAATTTAATGTTGTTTATTACCCTCATTTATGCACACTTCTCTAATTAAAATAAATTGATATTCCTATGATATAATCCAAACTACCTTCATTAATTTATGCCATAATAATTTTAATAATTTGACCAGAAGACCTACAAGTGGAACACAACTAATGATACCAATCTGTTTACGTATGAGATACGGAATGTGTTACGAATTGCATATATTATGGTATACTTGACAGCCGGTGGCACTTTCTACTTTTTAACCAAGTGATCTATAATTTGAATTTATGTTTCAAGCAAATTTCTGGTCTGATCTAGATTAATGAACGATCAAAATATTAGTGCGTTGTCATAATCGTCTGAACTAATTTTTTTCCTTCTCGTTTTAGTTGTGGTTGTTTTTTTCAATCGCCATCGCCTTGGTGTGCTGTGAAGGGCGGAGAATTCGCGTTCGTCCCGAGCCCCAAGAAGATGAAACAGTGGAGTATTACGCAGCCGAAGCGAGGGACGGAGAGGACGCCAGAGTTGTCTACGTTTCGTCCGCTGATCAGTACAATGGACTTTTTGGACAATCCACGGCGCCGGCTAGAAACGTCCAGGACAATTACATACCTCAAGGCAGAGTTTCGTCTTCTCATCTGAAATCTAGAGGCAAAGAACCGGCGAAGGCGCCGCCGGTGCAAACCATCAGAAATTATAATAAAGTCAACGATGATGGTTCGTTCACTTTCGGTTATGAGGCTGCCGATGGTAGTTTCAAGGAAGAAACGCGAGGTACCGATTGCGTTGTGCGAGGAAAGTATGGTTATGTAGATCCTGATGGCAACAAACGAGAATTTACGTACGTTTCCGGAAATCCTTGTGATCCCAACGCGCCTAAGGAGGAGGAGGATGACCTTCCGGAAGAAGACAGCAACGAGCCTGAGAATATACCGGCTAATTACCCCACAAAACCCGTTCGTCCCCTGAGGCCAGTGACGCCTGCCCCAAAACCCGCAGTAACTCTCTTCCATAACACTTATAGTCAGCAAGAGGATGAAGAACCCGAACCTGAACAGGTGCTGAAACCGCACCCAATTCAAGTAAGCTTGGGATTTGCGCGTACGTGTGTTTTAATACGTCTTTGTTTCAGTCACTGCCCGTGCGGCCCCAGTATATAACTCGTCCTCAAATTTACCAACAGCAAATAAATTCGGAAGAGGAGATCGCGTCCTATCATCATCCACGAGGTTCAGCACATACCACCCCTGCATCAGTAGTATACAAACAAAGCGCGACGCCTATTAATATAACCCCGCGACCAGTTCCTTCCGTGACGCCTCGTTCGGAATTGCCAGCGACCACCTACCGGCCCCAGTTATTGCAAGTCGCTGTAACTCCACGACCGGCACTACTCTACACCAAGGAGCTAACGCAAACAGCGCGACCGTCCTTTATCTCTTCAACCCCGTCCTCGATTCCTCTATCTGTGACAAGGGGCGGAATAGACTTTGAATCCGAATTTCAGCGCTTCCAACACGACAATCACGTCTCACCGTCTCCAAGTCCGATATCAGCGCTAGCGAGAACCACTCCAAAAACCCACAAAACCTCAGCAGCACCACCACCAAACTCCTCTCCCGTATACTCATCGGAATTAGTCTACGACCCCGTATCTGGTTTATATAACACCCAGCTCTATCAGACCTTACCTCAGACCGAAGGCGAATTCTCGTTGAGCCACAGAATACAGCCGTACGTGCACCAACCCCAGCATCAGTTACTAAACATTCAGCAACTACAGCAGCAGAGCCCATTATACAGAGCGCTCAGACCTCAACCCACTCAAACGATTTACCAACAGCAACAAGCCGATTTGCAATTCCAAAACTCCGCGCAACTGTTCGCTCATCAGCAACAGCAACGCGCCAGAGCGCAACAAGCGTCGCAGAGCAGAATACAGCTAAGGCAATCGAGCCCTCCACCCCAACCTCAACAGTTTTACTACATTCAGCCATCGTCGTTTCAACACCCCCAAGCACTAGTCCAGGGAAGTCCGATCGACGCGTTTTTAAGGGGGCAGAATATTCAATTTTAGTGTTATAAAATGTGATAGAACAATGGGTGAACGTTAACGAAGAACGTTTAATAAACGTGACGCGTTCCGGATAGTGAAAGTGTTCGTGTTTTGATTATCCTTAAGCGTATCACACCCAATTTATGCAACACGCAGGCTAAGAGGCAATTTTTTAAGTCAACAATTTCGTTTCACGTTACAAAAGAAGCCGATTGTTGATATACCGTTAACCACAAAAATATAGAGTGACATTCGCAAGGTCGATTTTAATTTCCGTTATGAACGTCCTTGTTTTCCAATATCATGATTCACCCATTTTCTTACCTTTAATTCGATTGAACTAAAAATGTGCCGTAAGTTGATAATTAAAATTGCGAAATGTGCGATATGTCATTTAAAAATATGTCTATTTATACGTAGTATAGGTGATGTATATACATTTTTGTAAGTTAATTGTTTATTAATTTTGTATGAGTTATAACCACTACACTTATTAATAAAAATGTAAACAAAACTACGAAACGATCCCAATGTTCTCCAATTCCATTTAGAATTTTAAGTACGGCTACTTTCAGTTTCATTTTCTTGTAACTTTCATTAAACTAGCCATAGACGGAGTGAAATGTATTAACGGTTATGAGTGCATTAACATGTTTTAACCAATTAGATCGAATTACGCATGAACCACCTGTTCGTTCATTACATGCTCGGAATTTTCAAGCTTCATGGAGCGTTACCGTTATCGAGAAAATTGATTAACTTACGTAACGAAATGGGATTAGAAAATGTAGTTTTTGCGAATTTAAGGAACTCGATCTAATAGCCGCATCTTTAATGCTAACTCACGTTTATTGTTTAAAATAAAATAATTTATCAATAGCGTTTTGAAGCGAAAGTGATTAGAAATTTATTTTTTAAATGGCCGCTTATGGGTTGGTTAAGTGACATAATAAAACTTTCATTCTTTATTTTTTTTTGCAAAATTACGGTAATACATGCGTTATTTCTAGATTAGAATTATACGGTAGCAATAAGTACTTATTATATTACGTTTCCTGTCTTTTACCAGTCAGTCAAAATGTCAGCTTTGAGTAGGTTTTTTTTATTGAAATGATACCGTTTTTCTTAAAATCTATAACAATACCGTAATTATTTCGCATTTATAGCAATTTCACCGAAAAATTTAACCTAAGCTTAGCTTATATGTATAGCTTAAACCTACAATGGTTACTTTGGACTTTAAGTTGCGCTTACGCTAAGCCTTAGCTTGAATTTTTCGTTACAAATGATCATTAGGGATATTCTTCGAATGGCACTTTGCGAGATTTTCCTTTATAGGACACAATCAATATTCCCCGGGTATCTATTTAGTGTTTGATCTAATATACGAGAAAATAATTAGATCTAACCGATCGGAATTAGAGGCATTCCCCTGCAATAGTGCAAAATTCCAAAAGGTCTAAACAGTGAAATAAAGCGGGGTGCCTCAAGGCTCGGTTTTGGGTCCCATTCTATTCTTATTTTTTGTGGACGACCTAATCTCTGGGTTTGTTACATTCTTTGACGGTGATTTACTTTTTTTAATTTATTGTCCCTCTTGTTCTAGGCCCTCAACAAGCTTACGCCCAATTACAGAGTGACACAGAGTGGCTTTTTAAAGGTTCCCCTGCAGAAGGTCTTAAGTTGTTCTATACGACTCCTGTATTTACCTTACGAATTAGGAAAACTGCAGGAAAACCTAATTCGGAGTAGCCGGCAGAATGCTCGAAACTGATCGAAGGATATTCCCATCTCTGCCACAGATGAAAAATTCACCTCAACTCAGGTTCGAACAAGGAATTGACGAGGGTTTTAATTTGTTTAACCCTCATATCTTCCACGATATCTTTGGATAAAATAAGATTAGATGTCACTGTGCAAAGCTAAACGGAACAAATTCTATTAAATACTTAGCCGTTTGCTTTGATAGTGGATTATATAGGGGGTTAAACAACTCCTTCTATCATTTAATATCTGTTTGTGCCGTAGTAATATTGAAACACGTATATTTTGCGCTCTCTATACCCTTATGACCTAGCCTTTTGGGGAGGTGGGTACTGGGAGATACTCCCACCTTCATTTTATTCTGGCACTGCAGAAATGGTACATGAGATTTACGGTAAAAGTCATTTTTTCCTTTCCTTTATTGTTTCTCTTCGTGGGCTACCTCTACGTTATTTATATTTTCAAAAACCTTGACCTTTTTTATCAGATGAGTGATGGTTTTGGCACTTTTGAAAAAAGAGCTAGAGTATTTTTATCCACTAATCCACCTACTCAGTTAGAAGACCAGATTCTAAGTTAATTCTACATTTTGTTTAATTTTGATTGGTTTGTATTCTACATCTGAATTTATACCAGTGGTACATTCTTTTTAATTATTTGAACAATCCTATAATTTTAAGAAATGCAATTAGCTTTCTTATGCTTTATTTCGGTCGTCTCCCAGTACTTACTTCTTTCATATTTCTCCCTAATAGATGATGTCTTTATTAAATGCTGTACTTACAGGGTGAGTCAACGATTGCGCGGAGTAACTTAATACTGTGAAGATAAGATTTTTCGATAGAGCGTTTTTGTATTATGATATGGTTAAATATTTTCCACATTTGAAGCATATTTGGAATTATACAGGGTGCGCTCACAAAGTAAGACGGTAAAATGGTACATTTTAAATTAATTTTTCAAACAATTCATTTTAATTCTACAAACTGGAGTATATATAAAAACACTTGACTACAAAACAAAGTTTACTCTTAATGTCATCCAGTCAGTGACATTAGTTTCATTTTTTTCCTAGTTATTACGTAAATTATAACCTATTTAAGAATAAAATATAAAAACTAGGAAAATCAAAATATGTATAATATAATGTTTTCACTATCAAATTTATTCTGCAGTTTTTAAACTTAAAAGAATTATTTGAAAAACGAATTAATCGATATGATTTTTGGTTTGGACGAGGCGGAAAAAAAATGTCTTTTTTTGCATGGCCACTTTGTTATTATGTACTCGTAACTTACATATAACTAATAACTTATTTAAGATTAGAATTTAAAACCAGGAAAACCAGGATATATCGAATACTATCAGAGATGACAGAAAAATATACAGGGTGTTCCATTTAAAAAAGTGAGATTTTTAATATGAAGTTTTGTAACTTTGGACCTACGTAAAAAATACCCTCTGTAAGCTATTTTTTTATGTTTCATTGTAGATCAATTTATTCGACGTTTACTTTACCCAGGATAAAAGATATAGAGCCTGGAATCAAAACTTAAGTAATAATTTTGAGAAGAAACTGATGCCAAATTTTTCTTACAAATCGAATTATCTTTAACTAGTTTTTCGGATATTCACCATGTAAAAAATGTTCTACAATTACACGTAGAATTAAAAAACACATTTATATACGGGTGGTTCCATTTAAAAAAATGCACCATTTTGGTGCCCTACTTTGTGAGCACACTTTGTATAATTCCAAATATGTTTAAAATGTGGAGAATATTCAACCATATCATAATACAACAGCACTCTATTGGAAAATCTTATTTTCAAAGCATTAAGTTACTCCGCGCAATCGTTGACTCACCCTGTACTGTATATGGAGCATCGCATGTGGTTTTCCTAGTACCTACAATCACGGTTTTTCCTATACATAGTCGTATATATTCCTTCTTCCCTCTTATCAATGTTGGAGTCGTTCTTCTATCCCTTGTAGTCTTGGTCTTGTGGTTGACGGAGATTCCTTCTTCCCTCTTATCAATGTTGGAGTCGTTCTTCTATCCCTTGTAGTCTTGGTCTTGTGGTTGACGGAGAGTACGGCCAACAGATCTGACAGTTTAAAAATAAAAACAACACAAAAATTAAAAGTGGTTAGTACCAATTGTTGATGTTAATGTAAATGAATGAAAATAACATCAGAACAACCGATTTCCTCCGTTAAGGTCTGAAGATAATGCCCTTTAAATGATATCCTTTTTTGAATAAGCATTCTTCCAGTTTTGGACTGAAAATGTCAAACACTTTCTTTGCAGACAGAGACAGGTTGGCGATTTCTTTGCATATGTCCTCTTTCAGTTCGTCCAATGTAAACTTTTTCCTTAAGGAACCCCCAAAGGAAAAAAAAATGACAAACGCTAAATTCTTGAGAGCGAGCCGGCGATGCAATGTCCCGAAAACGCGAGATGACTCGGCCACGGAACTTGCTTCTCAAAAAGTCCATCACCCCATTGGCTGTATGGGCAGTCGCTCCATCCTGCTGGACTCACAAGCTCCTGCGCACTAAACGATTGCTCTGAAGATCAGGGATCAGGAAGCTCTCCAACAAGTATGCTACAGCACACAATATAGTAACCTCGGGACTATGCAGAGGACGTTCATGTAGTTCTTTAGGATTTGTAGCCGATTAATATCGAAAGTTAGGTTTACATATGGTTTGAGAACCATAAAAGGAGGCGCTACACCTGGAAAGCACCAGGATAAAGATAAACTATTTAGGAAACATATAGATTTTATATTGGTAGAAAGTACATACATATAGTAATGGAGTAAAAATCGTTTGTGGGCTACCAGGAGCTGATATATTCAGCGAGCACATTGCAGATTTAGGGATAAGACTGAAAAGAATGAGGAAAGCTGTGACGAAATAGGATGTAGCATGGAAAGCGAAATAAAGGCGTGGGATAGAGCATCAAGGACGGAAGAAAGTTAGGAGAAAAATTGGGAGAGGATAAAGGAAGGTGTAAAAAAATTGACAAGGGGGAGCAGAATAAAGAAACCTTAAATAACAACAGAAATGATATAAGGTGGAGAAAAGGAAGAAAGTTAAACATCCTAAGGACAGACGAGGGAGAAAAACTGTGGTACTATGACAGGGATACAAATAAGTTTTTGACAGAAGAAAGAGTATTGGGAAAGATTATATGAAGGAATTGTATCGAGCAAAGGATAATAAGTGGAGAAGGACAACATTGGGGAAGGCATTCTAGCAACGGAAGTGATGGTAGCAATAGAAGAAATGGAGGATGGGAAGGCAGCAGGAGTCGATAATATCCTCATAGATTTATTGAAATGTCTGAAAGAAAAATGTCTCAAAGAAGTCACATCTCTTTGTCATATAATCTACGAAAGTGGGCTGTGGGCAGAGAACTTCCTCTGTTGGGAAATAGTGGCTCTACTTAAAAAACAAGGTACAAAAAATGTTCAGAATGTAGAACAATCGGCCTAGGGATCCACAGAGCAAGATCTTATTGAGAATATTGGATGAAGGCTAAGCAAAGTTGTGGAGGCTAATATAGAAGAGGATTAGTTTGGTTTCAGGAGAGAAATGGGCACGAGAGACACGATAGGAGTAGTGAGAACGATTTGAGAAAGGTACCTCGAAGAAAAAAAGACCTTCTGTGTAACTTTTGTGGACATACGATTCGGTTTGATCTAAAATGAGTTCAACAAAGATGCTGTTTATCACCGACTTCGTTATATGTATTGTGGAAATATGTTGGAAAAGGAGAAAATGTGGTCTCAACATCGGAGGGATGAGGATTGTTAGTATACCATTTGCGGAAGACATGATTGATTGATTGTGTTTACTTAGAGGGAGAAAAACTTGAGATAAAGCTAGAAAAACTGGAGGAAAGTATTTAGGTACAGAGATAACAGAGAGATGGAAAAGCGAAAGAGACATTGAGACCAGGATAGCGATGGCAAAACAAACATTTAATGGAAAGGGGTGAGTAACGTACGCTAGTGAAACGTGACAACAATGAAAAGGGATCAGAAAAGGTTGGAAGCTTTTGAAAAGTGGATATGCTGTAGAATGATGAACATCAAATGGACGGATAACGTAGAGGTATTAAAGAATTGGAAAAGATGTATGTTAAAGATCCTAAAGCGCAGGAAAATGAACTCGATTGGACAAGTACTAAGAAAGAACTTCAAGAGAAGAAACTAATTGAGAGAAAGGAAGAAGAAGAAGAAGAAGAAGAAGAAGGAAATTGACTGACGACCTGAAGAAGGAAGAAGTAAAGATATGAGCAGAGGATAGAGGGTCATGGAGAACAGCCATCAGGGATCCGCTTTAACAGTAAAATACCAATGATGAGTATGACTAGGGTTTATTCTTCAAAGTGAGTTTCGGGTATGGCGTGTAATGTTTCCTCCGAAAGAGATTGTGAGGAAACCTTTCCGAGAATGTCGGTTATTAGGAGTAGACACTAAACGAGCTTTCGCACCTTTCAACTTAAAACCTTTATAAAGAATCACCATTTACACGAAGCATAAGTTTTCTAACTGAAAACGCTCGCACTAATTGAAAGATCTATACTTACTCCGATAGAAACCAGTACGGATTTATTGCTCATCTAGAATTCAGGGCTAATGATAAACCTATGGTGCTTACCGTAGGTGCAGCAAACTACACATGTGTCAGTAACGTGACTTAAATTTGATTTTATTAGACTATAAAACAACATAAGCAGTAAAATAGTAACGAAGTTAAAACGACAACAAAACGAATTTTTAAGTTACGTTTACAGCTACAAAACCACTTTTCGAGATTTCGTTCTTGAACTACAAAAAACAGAGCTTCGCCGTCGAACCCCGCGACTCTTCAACGCTTGAAGTATGTCTTGCGACTTTTCGTTTCCAATTTTATCTTCATCAAACAAAAATTCAACAATCGGTGACGATTTAATAACATCGGAATCAATATCCGAAATTTCATTACCGTTAATATGAAGCTTATTCAAATTTTTAAACTTGTTTAAGATGTCATAGTCCAGGACGTTCAGGCAGTTGCAGCTGAGCACCAGTTTTCCTAGCTCGATCAAATGTCCCAGAGCGGAGGGAATCACTCCTAGTCCGTTATAACCCAAATCTAACGTCGTTAAATTCTGTACGCCACTAAAGGCCAGCTCGTCAACTTCGGTTATTTTGTTCTCGGATAAGTCGAGGTAGATTAAACTGTCCAAGTGTCCTAAGGAACTCGCATCGATTCGTTGAATTAGATTATTTCCGACGGCCAAGGCTCGCATGGAAGTTAGGTGCTTCAGAACGTCCGCCGTTAAGCGGGAGATTTGATTGTCAGACAAATTTAGGTTGGTTAAGTTGGTCAAACCAGAAAACGCGCCCTCTTCGATTTCCTCAATTTTATTTCCGCTCAAATTGAGCGAACGCAATGCAACGAGCGCGGAAAAAGTATCCTTGGATAGTTTTCTCAAACTATTTCCACTCAAATTTAAATACTTTAGAGATGTGAGTCCTGTAGACCATCCTGTTTCTAGGTCTTCTAAGTTAGATTCGTTGAGATCTAAGTTGAGGAGAGCAGAAAACCCGACGAATACCGATGAGACTAATCGAGGTATGTTGTTGCCCTCGAGGTGGAGATGCTGCAAACTTTTGGAGCCCGTTTGGCTGTGATTGGTGATGGTTTTTATGTTGGAGGAATGAAGGAAGATATTTTCTATCGATGAGAGTGGTTCAAAACTATCAACCGATAACTCCTCAATGTTGTTGTTGTTCAAGTACAATATCTTCAGAAATCCAAAGTTCTTAAACATATCCTTGCTCAAAGACGTGAGCTTGTTGCACTGTAATTGAAGGACGCGGAGAGATTTTAGGTCTTCGAAAGCTTCTGGTTCAACGCCGAATATTTTATTGTTACTCAAACTTAAGTAGTCTAATTTGTGCAGTCCTCCAAATGCTTTATTGTTTACGATCGACAAATTGTTGTCATCCAAATTCAGCTGCAACAACGAAGACAGGGTGCTAAAGTAGTTTGAAATCAATTCATCTAGTTTATTGTGGTTTAATCTCAAGTGAGTAATATTGTTATTTTCTTGCGCAACGGAACACCATTGGTTTAAATTGTTGTGGCTTAAGTCAACTTTGCTCAGCGAAAAGAGGCTATCGAACACATTTGCGGGTAGGAACTCAATTTTATTTCTTCCCAAACTAATTCGAGTCAACTTCGGCAGCTCGCATAGGAATTTGGGCTTAATGTTCCTAATGTTGTTTTCTTGCAAGTCAAGATCTTCTAAAAACGGTAGTCGCTTGAAGATTTCAGGTTCGATCGTATCTAAATTGCTGTGGCTTATGACTAATTTCTTCAAAACTCTCAGTTTCTCAAATGTACCGGCGGGTATGGAGCGTAAGTTTCTATTGCAACGCACGTACAAACCGAGCAAATTTTGGCATTCTTCAAAGGCTTCGGTAGCAAACGATTCCCAGTTGCAAATGATGTAGAGATGTTGCAGATTATGGAATTGTTCGATTAGCATTCGTTCGAGTGTTTTATCTGATTTTAATATTAGATTTTGGATGTCTCCCAAGCATACCGGCGAGGAAGTCGTGTTTGTGTTTTCTATTTTTTCCATTTCCTCCTTTATATTATCGCCGGTTATCTCCACAAGCTTAATTGTGTCTTTATCCAAACTGGTGTTGTAATAATACCAGGGGTAGATGTTGTACATGGTATGTGCTACAATAGCTTCAGGCACATTCCCGCACCTGAAAAACACAGTCGCGTAAATACAAGCGATGCACATTTAATTTCAGTAAACAAACACTTGGCAGAATGCCCTAGAGGTTTTCGAACTTTAGTATATAGAGTAGTTAATGCAAAATGATTAGTACGTAAATTCATATTAATTAAATATTACCTTAACACAACCTCACTATCTTCCACAGCAGTTGGATGTTGACTATATGGCAAAAAGCGAGCCACACTTACATTTATTTATTGCACGGAAATAGAAACACATTCCAACATTTGACATTTGTTTCGTTGAAAATAATTATTTGCGCTTATAAAACAGGCTAACAGGTAATGGCGTGCTATTAATTTCTATGCATAAATTGAATATTTTCGGCTGTAGCGCTTACTCAAAAATTCATTATTCAAGATGCCTTGTGACAACAAAAAAAAGATTCCAGGTAGGTAGGCTAAGTTAGTATCTGAATCGGCACTCCACCACGACAAATTCTTGAGCCAATTCCGCCCCTCATACCAAGAATAACTTTTAACCATATATACACGGTGTCCATTTTTCGAGTGCCACTATGGGGATCTCGCTTACCTGAAGAGATAGAGAGTTAGTTAAATGGGGGCAAAGTTGCGAATTTTCGTGCTGATTAATAATCTGAAAAGAAATTAAAAATATCTTTAGTAGTTTTGAAAATATCGCAAAAAAACATTATTCAGACACATTTTTCTGGAAGAGTGCTTTGGAAAAACAAAACGTTCTTTTATCGTGAACAAAAGTATGACAGTTTGATCCATCTGTCTGGTTAGAGCGTTGGCAGGGAACTAGTTGAGTTGAGATTTTCATCTGAATATAATTGAACCTTCGTTTTGCAAGAAAATTATAATTCAAATTAGAACAAAATACTTAAGAAGAAATAATATTTTCGCAATAAATCTAGCACAAACGTAAATTACACTACTTGAAATAAGTCAACCTTTTGTTCACAACAAAAGAACGTTTTGTTTTTCCAAAGCACTCTTTGCAGAAAATTAAAATTGTAATTTTAGGAAAAATGTGTTACTGAACCACCATGTGTGATATATCGTTGTAAAGAGAAAAAAAGACGTAATCTCAAAATGTCAAAATCCAAAGCGGCGCCCATAAGAAAAATTAAAGTTACCACCTGTTTCTCCGTCATCTTAAAAGTTATTGAAAACGGGATGCCATATTCGAAATCTCCATTAAAAAGTGTCTGAATAATGTGTTAATTAGAAATGTCTAGAACGATTAGTTTACTATGAAAAAATTAAAAACGAAAATCAGAAATTTTCTTTTTTTTTGCGATATTTTCAAAACTATTGAAGATATTTTAAATTTCTTTTCAGATTATTATTCAACACGAAAATTCGCAACTTTGCCCTCATTTAACCAAATGTCTAGCTCTTAAGATAAGCGAGATCCCCATAGTGGCACTCGAAAAATGGACACCGTGTATAGTACGTCGGGTACATGGTTAGAATGGGGAAAATACTGCACTTTTTGATTGGAATATGCCACTTGCTGTGGTAATAGTTAATACCATAAGGCACCTTTTGAGATAGAGAGCCACTCGAAAATCGGCGCAGGAAACCAAAATGGTGGCCTTCAAAATGGCGCCATTAGCCGCAATATATTTTTTTGTTTTGCTCCTAATAGTCCGATTTTAATTTTCTTTTTTTTTTATTGAAAGCTCTTGTGACGAGGAAACTTTTTTGCTATATAACATTTAGCTCTAAAACTTAAGGATTTAGCACAATTATAAAAAAGTGTCTTTTTACGAATTTGAATCACAAGTAAGCTCTTAATTGTGCAATATCCCGGTCTTTTCGACAAAAAAGGCCGTTTAGAAATTCAATCAATTCAACCCCAAAACTCCTTGTTTTTCCCCTCAAATTCGGAAAATTTCAATCCGCCATGTTTTTTTTTTAAAATGCGCAATATTTGTTTCATCAGACACGAGATCAAGCATTATGAAAATTGAAAGGAAAAGCCTCGTCAATTTTTTTCTCTGAAAAACAGAAAATACACTCTGCTTTTAAAGTAATTAAAGAAACACTCAGTATATCAACTTTAACTCTTCTATTCTATTCGCAGGGGAGCCCGACCGGGCAGCACTTAGGCACACCAGAGGCCCATTGTGCGTACCCCCTTTCTTCGCAACTGAGTTCAGAGCCCGTTCCTCTCAATGAAGGATAGGACCCTGTTTAGCCTAAGTTGCTTCACCCTCATCGGTTCCAGATACTTTAACTCGTACTCTCGCTCTTACTTATCCTATTTTATTTAACTAGTTGGTTTAAGATACGACGAATGTGAAATTTGGAGTGCTTATTTATCAGATCATGGGTTTTTTCGAGTGTTTTCTCTCGGGTTTTCTTTAAGAATATTAACGGAATATTATGATTTCCAAGTTTTAGATACCTATTCATATAAGTTGAATCATTTCATTTTTATTATACAAGGAATTCACCTTCTGTAAGCGGACGATAGAGCCTCAATGGTTGAGATTAATGGTAACGGTTTGTTGGTGCGAGAAGCCTGAGGGGAAGCCTAAAACGTATTTTTAGGTGTATAGGGTGTTTTCAGCCTATATACATTTTGATATTTTTTATAGGTATCCCCGGGTATCCGTTAACAAAAGAATTATTTTTGTAGGTCTAATCGGTTTTTAGCGCATTTTTGAAAAAAATACGCTATTATATTCGTTATGGCTGGCAGGCCGGCTGTCCGCGTGAGATCTCCACAACTACAATAGCTAGAAAATTCAAATTTTCACTAAAAGCTTTCTGCTATAGTGTAGATGTGCAGGCACTAGTCTATTTTGAGTTAGATTACTTGTGAGATCGATAATTGAAGAAAATAGTTTCGATATGGGTTTCGGAGGTGCTATAATTTTACCGTTAGATAGCGCTACCAGTATAAACACTTATTATTTACTTTGTGATTTGTTTTACAAAATGAAGACGTACCGTCAATTGAAATTAAATAAAATTAATTATTTAACGCAGCCAAAATTACTCGTAAGATCGATAATTTTAAACTTCGTTAATAAAATACTGACCTGCATTACCAAAAATGCGCTTTAATCATGCATATGCTGATTTACAACTTGTTTTTCGTATTGCTAACCGCGAGGCTAACGGTTTTCCGGATATGCTTTTTATACAGGGTAAAAATGTTATCTTCAAAACATTTTTTAAAGAAGCTTTTTATGACATCCATAATTATAAAAAGTTTGCTACCAATCCACGTACATTCAATTTGGGGTCAGTAGCATGCATACACGGTCAAAAGGGGTATACTGTTTTAGCAACCACTATTTTCGAGACTATTTTCTTGACGTAGTGAATTATTTGTCGATACAAATTGATACAATAAAACTCGTTTTTCAAATAATTGAATTTTAATATTTCTTTAGCTAATCGACTTCGAATCGTATAGACCGATTCATCATCAGACCTTAAGAGTCAGAATATTGTGCTGAATAATACAAATCCTTACATATTAACATTTGACGTGGACAAGTTACACATAAAAATCGGGTTGAGCTTACTTGTGATTCAAATTCGTAAAAAAAACACTTTTTTAAAATTGTGCTAAATCCTTAAGAGATAAAGGTTATATAACAAAAAAGTTTCTTCGTTACAAGAGCTTTCAAACAAAAAAAAAATTAAAATCGGACTATTAGGAGCAGAGATACAAAAAAATATATTGCGGCTAATGGCGCCATTTTGACGGCCACCATTTTGGTTTCCCGCACGGATTTTCGAGTGGCTCCCTATCTCAAAAGTTGCCTTTTGGTATTAACTATTACCACAGAAAGTGGCATATTCCAATCAAAAAGTACAGTTTTTTTGGCGTACCCAACGTACTAATATAGACGAGAAGAAATTGGGGTAATGAACACATACGGTGTTAGTGCTGTTAAATGCCAGATAAACAGAATCTCAAATTCTTTCGCTGTTCCTATAAAAGTCAAGTGTGAAGTTGGCCCCGCCCATACACTTTTAATTAGATAAAACCACATGTGATTATTAGTGCTACGTTAGTGCTGGAAAATTGCCAGCATTTCATCTTTCCAAGAAAAACGAAAAAACCTAAAATATTGTGTGAAGTTGGCCATTGGTTTTAAAAAACGCACATACGATCGCTAGTGCTACGTTAGTGCTTTTTAGTGATCAAATAGTGCGAGTTTAACGTTTTATATTACCAAGAAAAATAAAAAAAATCAGCGTGAAGCCACATTATAATTATATTTTATGATCGAACAATAATTTATATGTAGATGGTAACTATGGTGATCAATTATTGCTGCAGTCATATTACGTCATGATAAATTTAATTGTAAAACTGGATCTTATCTCAAAATAAACCGTACAGGATATTAGAAAATACTGAATGACTTTATCTATCGATCTTTATTGAGCGGATATTCGGAATATGGTCGTTTACCAGTTTCGTTTCCGCTAATCCAATCTTAACCAAAGTCAATACATTGATGTAATAAACAGAGTTGACCTAGATATTGAACATTTTTACCAGATCGTTCCATGCATTCCTAGATTATCTAAACCATAGGATCGCGGAACCATACTCAGAAAACATTGGATATTCTTAGACTATTCTTTTAACATGTATGTAAATATTCCAAATATCCATAGAATGTTCCATAAATATATACGTTAGTCTGGCATATTCCAAGAATATTCGGCGGTGAATATACTGAGAACACACTATCAATATATTCCTTAATCTTTCTGTATTGAATATTCCCTGGATGTGCGGGGAATATTCGTTTTGTCACAATCACGTGTCAATTTCAAACTAAATGTGTGTTTTAGGTAAGTAGTTCGTTAGACACTCATTTTTAATTAAAAATTATTTTGAATGAACGGTATTCCTTTCATCTTAATATTCTTAGATTGGCCCATAACTACTCTACATATGCAATTTGAAAGTATAAATATTTACAGGACATTAATAAGGTTATTAGAACAAATATGTAGTATACAATACAATATTCACATAGCATTTAACTGATCGGCATGTTATAAGTATAAGGCGTGTTAGGGACTACGTTCTTATAAGGACGGCACATCACATATTCCCAATTATTATTTATCCTGGAGTTGATATACACATACACTACATAATGTCGTACTAAATGGAAAATTTTGCAGTGGCAACATTTAAGTAAAGTTCTCCGAAGTTTAGCAGATGAGATCTGTAAACTGCATATAAGTCACTTTTTTTCCATTACAAGTGTATATTTCACGACCTAAGTATAATAAAGTATAACGTGAGGTTAGTTCG